TGTTATGCTGATGACACACAATTATATTTGTCCATTAAACTCAATTAATCCAATCAGCTACTTAGACTACAAGCATGTCTTAAAGACATAAAAACCTGGATGACCCTTAATTTTCTCCTGTTGAACAGACAAGACTGAGGTTTTAGTTTTTGGACCTGAGCACCTTAGGAATGAATGTTTCAGTCTTTCTCCCTCCTTAGATGCATTAATCTGTCCTCCAGCTCTAATGTTAAAAATCTTGGTGTTATTTTTGATCAGGACATGTCTTTTATCCCCCACATTAAAAACGTTACTAGAACCTCCTTCTTCCACCTGCGTAATATCACTAACATTAGAAACATCTGATCTAAAGATGATGCAGAAAAACTGGTCCATGCATTTGTCACGTCTAGACTGGACTATAGCAATGGTTTATTATCTGGGTGTCCAAATACTTCTTTAAAACGTCTTCAGTTGATCCAACATGCTGCTGCCAGAGTCTTAACTGGAGTTACTGGGAGAGATCATATCTCTCCAGTTTTAGCTTCTCTCCATTGGCTCCCTGTCAAATCCAGAATAGAATTGAAAATCTGACTTCTAACCTACAAAGCTCTCAACAACCTAGCTCCATCTTATATTACAGATCTTATTGTTCCATATTTTCCTAACAGAGCACTTCACTCTCAGACTGCAGGTTTACTTGTGGTTCCTAGAGTTTACAAAAGCAGAATGGGAGGAAGATCTTCCAGTTCTCAGGCTCCTCTCTTGTGGAACCAACTTCCAATCTCTGTCCTTGAGGCTGACACATTATCCAGTTTTAAAACTAGGCTTAAGACTTTCCTTTTTGATAAATCCTATAGTTAAGGTCGGCTTGGGTTTCCTGAGCTGTCCCTTAGTTCTGCTGCTATAGGCTTAGACTGCTGGAGGACAAAATGACCACACTCTTCACTCTGCTACTGTCTTTACTTACTCTGCTCAACCTGTTTTGTATTTGTAATTATTTTTTCTATCCTTAACATGTGGTTTTTTTGTCTTTCAGGTACACCTGGACCTGGACCTATACCTGGACCTATACCTGGACCTACCATTCTGTGTTCGTCTGTCTCTCCTTCCTGTCCTCTCAACCAGCCGGTCAAAGCAGATGGTCTCTTGTCCTGAGCTGGTTCTGCTGGAGGTTTCTTCCTGTTAAAGGGGAGTTTTTCTTTCCACTGTCTCCACTGTGCTTGCTCAGGATGGGAGACTGCAACGAAGCCAAGATTCAACTTGTCTGATGGATTCTTAGATAGAGAACTTTACTAACTGGCTTTTATGTGAATGTTCCTGTAAAGTCCCCGAGACAACTTTGTTGTGATTTGGCGCTTTAGAAATAAACTGAATTGAATTTAATTTAATTGAACTGTATCAAATGCAGCACTGAGGTCTAACAGGACCAGTATAGACACAAGTCCATTGTCTGAGGCCATGAGAATATCATTAGTGACTTTTACTAGTGCTGTTTCTGTGCTATGATGAGCTCTAAACCCTGACTGAAACTCTTCAAACAGATTATTTCTTTGTAGATGTTCATGTAACTGACCTAAAACTATTTTCTCTCATTTCTTTTAGGTTAATTTTATTTTGGTCTATAATTGGCCAGAATTCTTGAATCAGTATCAGGCTTTTTAAGTAAAGGTTTAATTACAGCAACCTTAAAGCTCTGTGGTACATAACCATCCATTAAAGACAAATTAAGTCGATTCAAAATGTGGACATTAATTAGGGGAAATACCTCTTTAAACAGTCTGGTTGGGATGGGATCTAGCAGGCATGTGGATGGTTTGGATGAGGTTATTATTTTTAACAATTCAGAGCTCAACAGGACAAAAACTGTCCAAACATAAATCAGGCTCAGTTGACAGCAGTTCCAGCAGTTTTTCTCATTAAGTTTGTTTTATGGTTTAAAACCTAGTTTCATTTAAAAATGAACCCAGTTGTGGGCTGAACTGAGTTCACCCATGGGCCTGATTTAGCCGCCAAGCCGCCAGTTGAATAGCCTTACTGTAGGTCGACCCAGTTGTCACCTATAAACGGTTTACCCCATCATTTAAAAAAAAATCACAACTCAGCAAAAATTTTTTTTTAATTATTCAGAAAAATTGCTTAATTCCTCAATTTTTACAGGTGATGCCAAACATTATTAACTCCATAGATTTTAATTTACAACTTAACAGTTTTTTAACTTCTCCCTTAAACCGCAAACACCCTGACTGGTCTAAATAAAGTCATCATCCCTCTGTTTCAAAACCCCACCGTGGCTGAGAACCAGTGCTTGTTTCCTTCAGTCTTTGTGCTGAAACGTGTTGGAAAAGCACAACCCTGAAATAAGGGAGCCCTGCTGGTTTTAGATAGAAACAACTCATTTTATGTATCATCATCATCAATAACTTTATTTATAAAGCGCTTTAACACAGCCAGAGCTGAAACAAAGTGCTGAACATCAGTAATAAATAAGATAAAAGAGAGCATAAAAATAAAGTGACAAAGCCAAGCACACAATGAATTAAAAACTCAATTTAAAATACAATAAAACGACGAGTTAAACAGATAAAATCAATACAAATAAAAATGAAGTAAAATCACGTCTCAGTTGGTTGAAGGCCAATGAGTAGAGAAGTTTTCAGATGAGTTTTAAACATGGACAGTGAGGGGACCTGTCGAATGTGCAAAGGCAAAGCGTTCCATATCTTAGGGGCACTAACAGAGAAGGTCCTGTTTCCTCAAAGCTTCCTCTTACTCTTCAGAATTACCAGAAGCAGCTGGTCAGAGGACCTGAGTGACCGAGGTGGAGTGTAGTGGTGGAGAAGCTCTGTTAAATGAGAGGGGGCAAGGCTGTTTAAAACCTTAAAAACAATCAATAGTTTTAAAATGAACTCTAAAATACACAGGCAGCCAGTGGAGAGAAGGCAGGACAAGGTGATGTGCTGTTTTTCACATGTTCCTTTTTGCACCAGCTGCAGACGTGTAAGTGAGGACTGGTTGACTCAGAGAAAGAGAGAATTACAGTAATCCAGCCGTGATGAAATGAAGGCATGGATTACTGTTTCAAACTGCTGCCTTGAAAGAATAGATTTTACCTTTGCCAATTTTCTCAAATGATTAAAAACCAGACTTGACTGTGGCTCTTATTTGACTGTCGAGTTTAAAATCACTGTCCATCATAAAACCAAGGTTTGTACCTGTGGATTTTCCGTACACTGTCAGGGGGTCTAAGTCAACTGGAGGGCTCAAACAAGCCCTAGGTCTAGGTCCAAAAACAAGTACCTCTGTCTTTTTTTCATTAAAATGCAGGAAGTTTAGGGCCATCCAAGATTTAAGATCCTCGAGACACGATAAAAGAGGTTTGATGGACCAAGCATCAACTTGCCTCAAAGGCACATCGATTTGACAATCATCATCGTAGCAGTGAAAGGAGATGCTGTTTTTTCTAAAAATCAATCCTAGAGGAAGTAGATATAAAGAAAAAAGCAAAGGCCCTAAAATTGAGTCCTGGGGAACTCCACATGACAGAGGAGCAGAAAAGAATTCACACCCAGCAATTTTTAGCATAAACAATTTTCTTCAAGATTTATGTATGTATGTATGTATTTATTTATTTAATTACAAAATAGATTTATACATTATAGTTATGGACACAAATTTAAGGCTATAAATAAAACAGATTTTTATAATTAAAAGAGAATTTTCATTCAACCTTTATTTATACAGGTTAATCCCATTGAGCTTCGGGGACTCATTTACAAGAGAGATCTGATTTTAACAAAGAAAGATGATAATAGTGGACAACAAAAACAATGATAGAAATCATAAATGATGCATATAAATTGAGATTTTTTTTTGTTTAACAAGTGAAAATAAAATGGTATTTAAAAGAAAATGTAACAAAAAAAGAAACAGCTAGATTATAAGGTGGTGTAGAAAACTAAAAACAGGAACACGTCTGCATTGGTTTTTGCAGGAACTTAACAGATGTTTGAAGTCACTTAGAGAGGTCAAGGTCAAGAGCTTCAGGTCTTTTTGCAAGATATTCCAAGAAACAGGAGAAACCTTTTGTCTAGTTCAGTCTTCACTGAGGGAACACTGCAGGTAATAATGTCCTGAGAGCGCACGCTGTAGCTGCACTCACGCAGAGACATGGAGGAGGAGATGTATGAAGGCAGCAGACCAAGAAGTGATTTAAAGATGAAAATGTACCAGTGGGAGAGTCTGTGTGAAGTTAATGGTGACCAGTTAACCAGTGAATACTGGGTGCAGTGGTGGGTACGGTAGTTACAGCCAGTTATGAATCTTAGTGCACCATGATAGACAGCATCCAACATCTGCAAGGTGCTTGTAGGAGCGTTCATGTAAATAATGTCACCGTAATCAATGGAGGAAAGGAAAGTCTCAGATACAAGGTGTTTCCTAACATTCAGAGTTAGACAGGATCTGTTTCTGAAAAAGAAACCAGGTTTAACTTTCAGTTTCTTTACTAGGTTTTCCATGTGGAGCTTAAAAGAGAGATGCAAGTCGACAAGATACCCAAATATTTATAGGAATCAACAAACTCAATAGGGACACCATTTGAGGATAAAATCAGAGGAAGAACTGCTGGGACCGACTTCCTGTTTGAAAAAAGCATCCCTTTGGTTTTGTCGGCATTTAGGAGAAGTTTGAGATTAAACAAATCTGACTGGATGATGTCGTCAATATCGTCAAAAAGTCAATAATCAGGAATTGGAAAAAGAACTGTTGTTAAAACTCTGAGCATAAGTAAGCCAAAGTATAAAGGCGTATAGAAAATACTGCCAGGTGCTCTGAACACATCAGTAATGTGTCTCAAAATAAATGTGTAGTTATTATTTTTATGGGCGGCTGTGGCTGACTAGTTAGAGCAGTCGTCCTCCAATGCGAGAGATGGGGGTTCAATTCCACCAGCAGTCACATGCCGAAGTTTCCCTGGGCAAGACACTGAACCCCTCATTGCCTCTGATGTGTCTCATCAGTGTATGAATGTGATAAAGCTCTGATTAGTCTCTTTAGAATGATTATTCTAATGACCAAGGTGGATCATGGTTCTGGTTGTCGACACAGCTTGACAGCGTTCATCACCGTTGCTCTTCCTGCGCTCCTAAAACTTCACACTGTCTCTGTCTGCATTCATTGTCCACTCCATGTCTCGTTTGTCTCGCTCAGCTGTCTCGTTGTCTCTTCTCTGTGCTGCAGGACCCTGTAACACAGATCCTCGATCAGAGAAAGGTTTAGACTTTTTCTTGCTCAACGCTCGGAATGAGACCTCAGATATTTGTTGTTACCTGCAGAAAAGTTTCAGAGTTCTTCTTGGACCATTTCCTGAAACACAACAGAACATCTTAGTTTTAAAGAAGAGTTTCTCACATAACCTTCTGACAAGGATTTCACAAGACTTACGTGTAATCTTCAGCCTGCTGGTCCAAATTAAAGCTCTCTTTGTCAGAAGCTCTATGTTTCTTGTTCTTCTTGAACCTGACACGTAAAAAACATATCACTTGTTAGTAGATGTAGGTTCCAGAAGGAATGAGGCCTTAGCTTGACACTCCAAACCATCTATCATAACCTTCAGTAAGAAATGCTTTATATAAATGCAAATATAGAAAACTTACCATTACAATGCCATCGTTTAAACCAAAAAGCTCAAATTCATGTGAGTTAAAGAAAAGTAAAGGTCTGAGGAAAAAGAGAGAGACAGTCCCACTCTTTCACATAACTCCCACCAGTTAAAAAACAAATCTGCTCTCCAATGATCATAAATTAAGCAGTTTAAGCACATTTTAAAATAAGAAAAAAGAAAAGCTATTTCACTATCCAAAATATCCATCCATCCATCCATCCATCCATCCATCCATCCATCCATCCATCCATCCATCCATCCATCCATCCATCCATCCATCCATCCATCCATCCATCCATCCATCCATCCATCCATCCATCAATCCATCCATCCATCCATCCATTCTCTTCCTCTTATCCAGGGTCGGGTCGCAGGGGTAGCAGCTTAAGTAGGGAGGCACAGACTTCCTTCTCCCCAGCCACTTGGGCCAGCTCTTCCGGGGGAATCTCAAGGCGTTCCCAGGCCAGCCAATAAACATAGTCCCTCCAGCGTGTCCTGGGTCTTCCTCTGGGTCTTCTCCCAGTGGGACGTGTCTGGAACACCTCACCAGGGAGGCGTCCGGGAGGCATCCTAACCAGATGCCCGAGCCACCTCAACTGGCTCCTCTTGACATGGAGAAGTAGTGGCTCTACTCTGAGTCCCTCCCGGTTGACCGAGCTTCTCACACTATCTCTAAGGGAGAGCCCAGACACCCTGCGGAGAAAACTCATTTTGGCCGCCTGTATCCGTGATCTTGTTCTTTCGGTCACAACCCAAACCATAGATGAGGGTAGGAACGTAGATTGACTGGTAAATGGAGAGCTTCGTCTTTTGACTGAGCTCTCTCTTCACCACAACAGACCTGTACAGCACCTGCTTCACTGCCGATGCTGCACCTATCCGCCTATCGATCTCACGCTCCATTTTTCCCTCATTTGTGAACAAGACCCCGAGATATTTGAACTCCTCCACCTGGGGCAGGACCTCCTCCCCAACCCAGAGAGGACACTCTACCCTTTTCTGGCTCAACACCATGGCCTCGGACTTGGAGGAACTGATCCTCATCCGGGCTGTGTCACACTTGGCTGCAAACCGCTCCAGCGAAAGCTCTAGATCACGACGATGAAGCCAATAGGACCACATCATCAGCAAAAAACAGAGATGCAATCCTAAGGCCACCAAAACGGATCCCCTCAACACCTTGGCTGCGCCTAGAAATTCTGTCCATAAAAGTTATAAACAGAATCAGTGACAAAGGACAACCTTGGCGGAGTCCAACTCTCACTGGGAACAAGCCCAACTTACTGTCGGCAATGCGGACCAAGCTCTGACACCGGTCGTACAGGGACCTAACAGCCCGTATCAAAGGGCCTGGTACCCATACTCCCGGAGTACCCCCCACGGGGCTCCCCACAGGGCTCCCCACAGGACTCCCCACAGGGCTCCCCACAGGACTCCCCACAGGGCTCCCCACAGTGCTCCCCAAGGGACGCGGTCAAATGCCTTCTCCAAGTCCACAAAGCACATGTAGACTGGTTGGGCAAACTCCCATACACCCTCCAGGACCCTGCTGAGGGTGTAGAGCTGGTTCAGTGCTCCACGACCAGGACAAAAACCGCACAGCTCCTTCTGAATCCGAGGTTCGACTATCTGATGGACCCTCCCCTCCAGAACCCCTGAAGAGACCTTACCAGGGAGGCTTAATAGCGTGATTCCCCTGTAGTTGGAATACACTCTACGGTCCCCTGTTTTGAATAGGCAGACCACCACCCCAATCTGCCAATCCAGTGGAACTGCCCCCGATGTCCACGCAATATTGCAGAGTCGTGTAAGCCAACACAACCCCACAACATCCAGAGCCTTAAGGAACTTGGGGCGAATCTCATCCACCCCTGGGGCCCTGCCACCGAGGAGCTTTTTAACCACCTCAGTGATCTCAGCACCAGAGATTGGAGAGCCCAACCCAAAGTCCCCAGGCTCCACTTCCTCAGTTGAAGACGTGCCGGTGGGATTGAAGAGGTCTTCGACGTATTCTGCACACCGACCCACGACATCCCGAGTTGAGGTCAGCAGCACACCACCTCCACTATAAATAGTGTTGGTGGCATACTGCTTTCCCAACTGAGATTCCGGATGGTGGACCAGAATCACCTCAAAGCCGTACGGAAGTCATTCTCCTTGGCCTCTCCGAACTTCTCCCACGCCCAAGTTTTAGCCTCAGTGATCACCCAAGCCGCATGCCGCTTGGACTGCCGATACCCATCAGCTACTTCCAGGGTCCCACAGGCCAAATAGGCCCGATAGGACTCCTTCAACCTGATAGCATCCCTCACCGCCAGTGTCCACCATCGGGTTCGAGGGTTACCGCCGCGACAGGAACCGACAACCTTGTGGCCACAGCTGCGATAAGCTGCCTCGACAATAGAGGCACGGAACATGGCCCACTCAGACTCAATGTCCCCCGCCTTCCCCGGAACGTGTTCGTAGCTCTCCTGGAGATGGGAGTTAAAGCTCCGCCTCACGGGAGACTCTGCCAGACGTTCCCAGCAGACCCTCACAATAAGTATGGGTCTTCCAGGTCTGACCGGCATCCTCCCCCACCATCCGAGCCGACTCACCACCAGGTAGTGGTTAGTGGACAGCTCCGCCCCTCTCTTCACCCGAATTTCCAAGACATGTGGCCACAGATCAGATGAGACAACAACAAAGTCGATCATCGAACTGTGGCCTAAGGTGTCCTGGTGCCAAGAGCACATATGGACACCCTTATGCCTGAACATAGTGTTCGTTATGGACAATCCATGACGAGCACAGAAGTCCAACAACAGAACACCACTTTGGTTCAGATCAGGGGGGGGCATTCCTCCCAACCACACCCCTCCAGGTCTCACTGTCATTGCCCATGTGAGCGATGAAGCCCCCCAGTAGAACAAGGGAGCCCCCAGGAGGCACACTCTCCAGTAACCTCTCTAAGGACTCCAAAAAGGGTGGGTTATCTGAGCTGCTGTTTGGCGCATAAGCACAAACAACAGTCAGAACCCATCCCCCCACACGCATGTGGAGGGAGGCTACCCTCTCGTTCACCGGGGTGAACCCCAACATACAGGCACCAAGATGGGGGGCAACAAGTATGCCCACTCCTGCTCGGCTTCTCTCGCCAGGGGCAACTCCAGAGTGGAATAGTGTCCAACCCCTCTCAAGGAAACTGGTTCCAGAGCCAGAGCCATGCGTCGAGGTGAGTCCGACTATTTTTAGCCAGAACCTCTTAACCTCATACACCAGCTCAGGCCCCTTTCCCACCAGAGAGGTGACATTCCACGTCCCAATAGCCAGCTTCTGTAGCCGAGGATCAGACTGCCAGAGTCCCTGCCCTCGGCCACCACCCATCCCACATTGCACCCGACCCCTTTGGCCCTTCCCACAGGTGGTGAGCCCATGGGAATGGGGACCCACATCTCCTCTTCGGGCTGTACCCGGCCGGGCTCCATGGGTAAAAGCCTGGCCACCAGGTGCTCGCCAGCGTGCCCCACCTCAAGGCCTGGATCCAGAGTGGGCCCCAGTGACCCACGTCCAGGCGAGGGAACATTGTTTCCATTTATTTTACTCGTGATAGGGGTCTGTGGGCTGCACTTTGTCTGGTCCCTCCAATGATCATAAATTAAGCAGTTTAAGCACATTTTAAAATAAGAAAAAAGAAAAGCTATTTCACTATCTAAAATATTATTCATGTAACACAAACAATACATCTTAAACTCTAACTGACACACATTTTTATTTAAACATTTAAAGTTCAAGTCAACTTTATTGCCGTTTCCAACATGTGGTACATAAGGTGGAACACAATAATGTACACAGGTCTCAGTTACTCCCCAAAATAGCAAAATATAAAGTATAAAAAGAATAGTAAATAAGGATCTAAGATGTGTACTAAAATATATGCTAAGCAAACAACAAATGGTACACTATCAGTTTCTGAGTGATGCCTTTTGCCCTCGGGTGTTTTTCCTTGCCTTGTCCAAAGCTTGTAGAATGGACTGCTGGTGAGGTTTTGTTTCTCCGCGGTTGACCGCTCTCTCACTTTCCTTTCTGGCCAGTGGCCACCATGAACTCTTCATATTGGTTGGAATAGTGGTTTTGATATGGTTAATTGGGTTTGAAGTGTTGTAGGACTTTGTTTTCACTCCTCCTCGCATCACTGATGCTGAGCAGTCATTGCAAATAGTATTCAAGGATTCAAGGTTCTTTATTTGTTAATCACACCCCATGTGGTACATGTGGCGGAACGAAATTGTGTACACAGGATCCCAGTTACATCCAACAAAAGTATTTAAATGTAAAAGAAAAACAGTAATAAGATCTAAGATATGAACCAAGAAAAATGTTAACTAAAAATACAATAAGCACTAGTAGTACCAAAACAATACGCCAAACAGCAGCACGAACATGAGTCTGTGTGAGCAGATGAGTATGAATGAACACAGCAACATGAAACAGATCAGCAGCAACATGAAACAGATCAGCAGCAACATGAAACAGATCAGCAGCAACATGATGTGATTTTTCACAGTGATTATTCTGGTTAGATGTTCATGAGTCTAACAGCTTCAGGGTAGAAGCTGTTCCTCAGTCTAGTGGTTCTACACTTAATGCTCCTCAACCTCCTTCCTCAGGGGAGTGGGGCAAAAAGTGTGTGTGCTGGGTGAGTGTGGTCCTTCATGATGCAGGTGGTCCTCTTCCTACATCTGGAGGTGTAGATGTCTGTGATGGTGGGGAGACTGACTCCAACATCTTCTGTGCAGCCTTCACCACTCTCTGCAAAGCTTTTCTTTCTGCAGCTGTGCAGCCTCCATGCCACACGTTGATGCTCGAGCACAGGATGCTCTCCACTGCACACCTGTAGAAGGAGGTGAGGACTGAGCTTCCCAGACCAGCTCGTCTCAGCTGCCTGAGGAAGTAGAGTCTCTGATGAGCTTTCTTCATCAGGCTGGTGGTGTTGTTGCTCCAGCTGAGGTTGTTGTTCATGTGTACACCCAAGTACTTGTAGCTGGAGACCACGTTCACCGCAGATCCTCTTATGTTTTGGGGGGGGTTGGGGGTAGGTGTGTTTGTTTCATCTGAAGTCCACGACCATGTCCTTTGTCTTCTTCACATTGATGTGAAGGTTGTTCTTCCTACACCAGCTCTCCAGCTGTTCCACCTCCTGCCTGTAGCTGGACTCATCATTGTTTGTGATGCATCCCACCACCTCTGTATCATCTGCAAACTTTATAATGTGACAGCCTGGATGGGTAGCTGCACAATCATACCTGAGCTGAGTGAACAGGAGGGGGCTCAACACGCATCCCTGAGGGGAGCCAGTGCTGAGTGTTATGGTGGAGAAGGCGAAGTTGTGGATCCTCACTGACTGAGGTCTGTTTGTTAAGAAGTCTAGGACCCAGTTGCAAATGGAGGGGCTTAGTCCTAGTGTGAGTATTTTGTCCATCAGGGTTTGGGGGATCATGGTGTTGAAATAGCAGTTCTGCTATCAGTTTCTGACACTTTAAAAAACTTCCACACCACCAACATTTTCACTTCTTCCTCTCCTGCCGTGATCAGATCAGGTAGGCTCACGTGACGTCATAACGTTGTGCTGGCGCTGCAGGCATCCTTGTTACTGGGCTGTCATACAAAAGCAGTGCCTTTTACATCGGTGAGTTATTTTGATGGAATGGCTGATGTCCAATATTTAACTTTATCGCTAATATCGGCCGATACCGATACCATGCTGATAATATCATGCATTCCTAGTCCACTTGCCATTTACATAGAATGCTGTTTTTTAAGTTGTGTACACAAAAATAGACCAAAATTTTCAAAAATTGTCTGTGCGAAATGTAGCTTTCCCACTGGTCATAAACATTCACTGAGGCTGCAGCTAAAACTTTCTATTAGCTGAAATTTTCTCACAATTATTGAGACAACAACTATGTTGCACTCTTTGGAGTCAGGACAGAACATGATCATCCTGTTAAAGCTACCCACACAGCCATTCCTACACTCTACAGTGGGATTGAAATGTCAGGATTTGAGCTTTTTTGTTAGAAAATACTACACCTGCACCCTGTTCCACCTGTCACAACTGCAGTCACTGGTCCTCATTAGTCCCTGCCCATTTAGTTTGTCCATCAATGCTCCAGAGTCAGCGTGACGTGGAATTCAAGCAGGTGGCGTAGGAAACCTTGAACCATAGAAACCTTGAACCATAGAAACCAAGGTTTCTATGGTTCAAGGTTTCCGTTGGTTTCTATGCCACGTCCTGGTTTTGCCATACGTTTCCTCTCGTCTGCTCAGTTAGTAATTTCTGCTGCCTCGTCAGCTTTTTGTTTTTTGCTCAAATAAAGACGTGCTCTTTTACTCGAGCTCTTTGTGTCTGCCTGTGTTTCTGGCTCCAATGCCTCCACAATCGTGACACCCTAAATCTTTGACTAAAAACTGTTTTATACTGTAGTGTGGAGCAAAACTTTGGTTTATTTTAGGTCTGAAAAACAGGATTTTGTTTGAAACAGACTATGATTATGAATGCACCAAGATATATCAAAATCATTTTATAATCACACTGAAGCCCTTTGAGTCCTAATCCAATTACCGTATTAGGCGCCTAAAGGGGCGGCTGTGGCTGAGTGGTCTGAGTCGTCTGCCTATGCAAGAGTTGAGAGTTTGACTCCACCAGCAGTCACATGCTGAAATGTCCCTGGGCAAGACACTGAACACCCTCATTGCCTCCGAAGTGTGTCCCATTGGTGTATTTTTTTTACCCTTTATTTATCCAGGTAGTCTCATTGAGCCACGAGAACTCATTTTCAAGAGAGACCTGTTTAGGGAGCAGATGGGGGTTAAGGGCCTTGCTCATTGGCCCAGAGTGGGGCAAATGAGGGTGGGGGCAGGTGTGGGTGCTTCACCTACCCCACCCATATTTTTGATGTTGTTGGTACCGGGGGCTTGAACCAGCGATCTTCCGATCACAGACCCACCTTCTCTAACCTCTGTGCCACCACTCCCCCAATGAATGTGATAAAGCTCTGATTAGTCTCTTTAGAATGATTTGTTCAATTATCTTTGTAGAGATCTAGTATAGAGCTGTATGAATGGGTCAATGAGGCACAGATTGTAAAGAGCTTTCTTGATCAGATAGAAAGGTGCTATATAAGTACAGTCCATTTAAAGATTCCCACTACCACTGTTTGCCATCATGGGTTACAGAGAAGACCAGAAAAACTCAACCAGTCTGAAATGCATCAGTCTCACCTGATGATGAAGACAACAGAAACAATCAGTCCCAGGATGCTCAGGCCCAACAAAACGCCCAGAGCAATGACTGCAGCCTGGTTCATGGTGGAGCTTTGAGGTCGTGTCTCTATGTCAAAATGAAGCCCTTCTCCAAATACCAGAGCCAACTCTGCCTTCACAGCAGCTGACTCGCTCTGCAGTTTCCTGGGAAAAACAACAAAATAATCCAAACCTAGACCTCCATCACATATTTCACATGTCAGCTCATACAGAAGCCCTCAAAGTCTGAGTGGTCACTTCGATTATTTTATAAATCGTATGTTCAAGAGTCAAACACTTACTTTATGACTTCCTCAGAAGGAACAGCTTCACCTTTATCAAGAGCAATAAAGCTGACCAAAGTCTTCACGGACCCCCTCAACGTTCGGGAGTCGGTGGGTCCTTCGTTTGAGCTGGACACTTGGATGACGTTCACGGTCCAGCCCAGAACTTTGAGCAAAGACCTGAGAGAAAAGAAGTATACTGTCCAACTGCAACATGTTTGAAAGGCAAATATAAAGTTTTCTGTGTTCGAGTAAATGTACTTCTCCAGATCTGGAATCTTCTTTTCCACAACGTTAGCCGGCTGATTCAGAGAGATGATCGTCACGTCGCTGCTGCTCGCACCCCCCTTAACCTCAACCTGGAGAAGAAGGCGGCAAAATTCAACCTTTACTGATTTTCCACAGATTTAAATGAACAAATTTTAAAAACTGTAAAACACAAAGAAACGGGCAGATTGAACTAATAAACTGCAAAGTGAGTTTATTTCTTGTGTATTTATTTCCTTTTATTTTAATCTAATTTTGTACATTTTTAAGGAGTTTTGTTTGGTGAAATGTGGCACTCTCGGCTCTCCACACTGAACTTTAGTCAAGACATTTCTCTGAAGCCCAAGAGAAAAGATTCAATTAGTTTTTGTCACTTGAACAGTGATTTCAGATTATTATATTTTTTCTGCCCATTTAACCATTTAAAAAGACAAAAACTAAATGTATTTTCCACCTCTTCGTCCAGTTTCAGAGTCTCACCTTCACCGTGGCTGTTGCATGAAGCTTTCTGGAGTCTGTGGCCTTCACCTCCAACTTAACCGTTTCCCCACTCAGACCTCCTGCTGACACCACGTACACCAGACCTGAGGCTGGATCCACGTCAAAATTAGAACCATCAGCTGACAGACTGTAGACCAACTGGCTGCTGTCTCCAACATCAGGGTCTGAAGCCTGCAGAGAGGCACAGCACGCAACTTTCTGAGCTCCGCTAATAGTCAAAAGGAATAAGATGGTACTGTCAATAAAAGGCTGAACATGATCATTCGTGGCAGTGATTAGAGAAGATCCAAGGAAGCACAACAACAGAACCTTAGCTTTACAGACAATGGGAACATCATGACAGGTTGTAGGTTGGGACACTTTGTTTGGTTTGGGCTTATTAAAGCATAAAAAATGGAGGTAAATATTGTCAAGAGGAGATTCAAAATTCAATTCAATTCAATAAGACTTTTTAATTCCAAAGGGAAATTAAATGTTGTAACTCATTATCCTAGTTTCAGTGAGATGTTATAGATGCTGATGCTGTAGGCAGGAAGGATCTCTTGTAAAGGTCCGTCCCACATTGGATCTGAAGAAACTGGCCACAGATGCTGTCCGATCTGTCCACCCAGACTTGGCTGGCCTCTCGGTTCCCCCGGGCTGCAGGACCGTCCGAATGCCGGGTAGAACTCCTCCCAGAACAATGGCCACTCCTTCCAGCAGCCTGCCGAGCTCCTCGTTGCTGCGGACAGCCAACTGTAGGTGCCGGGGAACGATCCCAGGCCTTCTTCTGTCACGAGCCACTTTTCTTGCCAGTTCCAGGATATTTTTTAGGAGATCTTAGGATCTCAGTGGTCAGGCACTCGAGCACAGCCGTCAGGTAGGTGGGAATGTATCTACGGAGCCTCCTTTTCAACTCATTTGAGATTTGGGGCTGTAGTTGAGGTATTTGAGCTTTTGAGAAATTAATCAGCTGCTCCTGGTTGTAAAAAAAAACCCACCTTGTTGCCATGGTTACGCATCATAACAAATGTTCAAAAGTAAAAAAGTTTCTGTAAAAATCCTTCCAGCTGCACAGCATCCGATACCAGAGGAAACAATCATCCAAAAAAAAAATGTGATTTACATCCAGAAAACAGGAATTAAAATTTCCAAAAGCAAAATCTCAGATTGAAAGTACAAAGTAACAGAGGTGTTCCAACATGCAGCCACTTCGAGTGGTGCAATTCTAGTATTCATGAATTCATCATTCTAGAATGATGCCAAAAGAAACTGGGAAATGGACTTTTCAGACATAAACTGAAGGTTGTTGATCAGAAATAATTTAAATCCAAACACGGGACTGGATCACTGCGTTATGACCGCTCAGATCAGACCCTTCATTAGATCATGCCATTTGTTGTTGTTGTTTATTTTTCTTTGGGTAAACAACATCATATATTCCAACAAAGTGAAGTCAGGTCCTCTGCACGGTTTCTTTTTGTTGAAACAGTTCATCTTTCATCCAAAAGACTTCATCAGTCCGAGGAGATAAAACTGAAACAAACCCAGTCTTATAAGTAGCACCTTCACATGGTGGGCCAACCAGTTTGATGGTGCTCAGATGGTTTCTGGAGTCCCCCCTCTCCCTCGCTGACTCATTTGAGGCAGTCATGGCCAAGTGGTTTGTCTTCTTTTTTAATAAAGCAAAGTAAATATCTACTGAATGTTTCCTTCAACAGGACTCATCAGAACTGAAGCTGTGTATTAAATCTCTTATCCCTGATCTGGAAAACATTTCAGGGCGTGTTGTTCTATAACGACTCTGGCAGAGAAACTGACGCATTGACCAAGCAGCATAAAACAAACTGCTGACTGGGTTTCGGGTCAAAGTACACAACACTGTTAATCACTGACACAGTAACTGGTGCTGCTGTAATCAAACACCACAGAGGAGATACAAGCCGTCCTCAGAGCCACTGATATTCCCCAACCAGTGGAAACTGATAGAAGTTGGGCGTGTTTACCTTGACTTGGATGACGGGAGTCTTGTAGGGGGCGATGCTGAACACTGAGGCTTCATATTCCTTTGAGGAAAACTCCGGAGGCTCGTTCACATCCTCCACCTGGACTCTGACCTGAGAGAGGCACACATGCTCCTGTAACACGTCTGTGAATTACTTTGACCACCAAACAAGTCGTGTTTATGGTCTTGTTTTCAGGAAGACTGGGAGCCTGCTCAGAATAAATACGTTTCAAAGGTTTACTTGTTTATTTCAATGGTTTTGGGGTATAAATAGCAGTGAGGAGCTGATACCATTGCTATGGCTGTTGTTGGGGGTGTCCGTGTGTCCACAGCTTCCACGTCCAGGATGTACCACTCCTGCTGCTCCTTGTCTAGCTGTTCTAAGGTTAGGATGGTGCCGTCGCTGCTGATGGAGAACTGGTCAGTGTGCGTCTTCAGCAAGTAGGAGACAGAGTACAGCGTGCTTCCCGAGGAGGCCCTGACCGTCCCCACCCTCACCCCCTTGGGCTCGTTCTCGGACAGGCTGAAGTTGTAGGTGGAGCTTTGGAAGGCCACGCCCTCCACCAGACTGGCGACCCTCAGATTCACCACCACACGAGCTGTAGGGCGACACAACAACAATCTCCATGTCAATAATAATTACTCTGTCAGGAGTTGTGTCAGTTTGCTGCTTTGGAACATACAAGTATGTTAACACAATTCCAAGGTGGAAAGACATCAGCATTGATGTCAGAGATGCAACTGTTGCTGCTGCTCAATCTGGGAAGGGTCATGGGTCAGTCTCATACAACCCGGAGCTGAAGGGCTCTAGAGACAAATGTGAAGTCTGACAGCTGAAGCTTGGATCAAGCTGGGTCATGATGCAAAAAAGAAGAATGTGAGACACTGTGCCACATGGTCCTGCCGCTGAGAGTTTTTGATGCTACAGGTGGTTCTACAAGCTGCTGAGTTAGTGGCGCCTGCACAAATGTTTTTGTAGGGTGGCACAACAAAACCAAAAACCTAAAAAAGAATTTCAGAAATTCTTTAAATGCGTTGTGAAACAGCGATCTGAAAACTTTGGCAACATGAGAGTTAAGGAATTGCCAATATTACTGATGATGTGACCTGCACAGACACATCTATGTGATGCGTCTTCATCCTCTTCAGACCCTGCATCCTAATGATGAGAACATTACATTTGGACCACTTGGCCTTTCAGGGGACTCGATTTTAAGTTTGTTGTTTTTTTAATTTTAAAGAATCAAATGTCTATTTATATTTTAAGTTATAATTACTCAAAAATGAAGTTTGCTTTTATGCTTATGAGGTTCCACTATTCCACACGTTGGCTTTATTTCTGTTTGATGAAGAACAACAGCATGGGATCTGTCTTGGGCTTTTCTTCACTTCACTAAGATTGAAATAATTTTAGCACCTGGTAATAACCAGATCTTTTTGTTTATTTTTGGATAAATACAATCCTAAAGACAGTAAACTTTCATTTTCCTGTGATTGTAATGAACTTGTTTTTAGTTAATAAACGTAACAAAAATCACAAAAACGAAGGTTCAAACACATTATTTAAAGACCCTTTGTGATAAAAAATAACTTTGTGTCATTTTTCAACACTTCCATTTGTTTCAGAAGAATTAATGTTTTATTAGTAACAAAAAATGAGCCAATGTCAACATCAATCAAAATGATTTATCAAGCTCTTATTAGGCCATAATTCTTTTGATTAGCTGCAACACAACTGCTGTCATTTGATGACTTCCAGTGTAAAAGATGCTGCGTTTATGTTCTAAATGGTGGATTATTTAGGAAGGAGGGCACAAACAATATGATGCGACTGACCCGTGGAGTTGAGCGGGGGGCTGCCATGGTCTGTGGCCACGGCTGTCAGGACCAGTGTGGTGTCTTCTGTCACATCTGCAAGGTCTGAGGTCAGCGTCACATCTCCAGTCTCACTGTTTAAAGCCACATATGGAGACTGTCCCCCAGAGAAACTATACAGGAGCCAAAAGCAAATATATATTTTGAATACTTCAACCCATTTGATACAAAGTAATAAACCCAGTGCAAGATCAGCTACAAACTCAGGCAGAAAATGACGTCCCAAAAGAAAACGAGATGATTATCTGATCGGAGTTCATGATCAGGTGGTGTTCTCAGTTCTGTTGACCTGACCTGTATCTGATGAGCGAGTTGTTCCCCACGTCTCGGTCGGTGGCGCTCAGCGTCAACAGCTGCTTCCCCTCCTCAGCGTCTTTTAGCAGGATGCTGCTGTCGTAGCTGCTGGAGCTGAACTCAGGTCTGTTGTCATTAACGTCGATGAGGTTCACTCTGATGGTGGTGACGTTCTGGACGGAGTCATTTATTTTCACAAAAGACATTTAATCAGTTTTAATTGATTAAATCAATTATTTATAACTGGTAGTTCATGATGCTGAAGAGCTGCTTTGACAAAGTCCTGGTTTGTCCTCAGATTGCAGGTTTACTTGTGGTTCCTAGAGTTTCCAAAAGCAGAATGGGAGGCAGATCCTTCAGTTATCAGGCTCCTCTCTTGTGGAACCAACTTCCAGATTCTGTCGTGAGGCTGACACCTTGTCCAGTTTTAAGACTGAGCTTAAGTCTTTCCTTTTTGATAAATCCTATAGTTAGGGTCGGCTTGGGTTTCCTGAGCTGTCCCTTAGTTATGCTGCTATAGACTTAGACTGCTGGAGGACAAACTGACCACATTTCTTCACTCTGTTGCTGTCTGTACTTCCTCTACTCACCTGTTTGTAATTATTTCTATCTTAATGTGTTTTTGTGCATCTGTGGCTGAGTGGTTAGAGCAGTCATCCTCCTATGCAAGAGTTGGGGGTTCAATTCCACCAGCAGTCACATGTTGAAGTGTCCCTGGGCAAGACACTGAACCCCTCATAGCCTCTGATGTGTGTCCCATCAGTGTATGAATGTGATAAAGCTCTGATTAGTCTTTGTAGAGATCTAGTAGAGTGCTGTCTGAATGGGTAAATAAGGCACAGACTGTGTTAAATGGACTGTACTTATATAGAGCCTTTCTATCTTTGTCATGATCAGCGGCCCCCGCTGGCCTCCCAATCTGCTCATGTCACTTCTCTGTCACCACGCCCCCTCAGCTGATTCACCGCAATCAACCTTCATGCCTCTCACCTGTTCTCTCCACTACTTAAGCTCCATGCCCACACTCATTCGGGGCAAGATTATTAAACCTCCCATGGTCCCTGATTCTCAAGCCTTGTTATTGGATTTTCAACCTCACACCTTGCCTTCTGGATTTCCTGTTTTCACCTGCTCCTCATCTGGTTCTGCTCTGGCTCTCTGATCACGGTAACGACCTCCTCTTCAGTCTATGACCACAACTCTTGGATTACGTTTTTGGATTTTGTATCTGGACCTTTGCCTTCCTGTTCATGACCCCTGCTCTGACAACCGGACCCCGTTATTGGATTTGCCCTTCAAACCACGTTATTGCAGCTGTTCTGCACAGGACCAATGATGTCATCGCTGCAAACTTGACAGGTGACTCTCACTCTCCTTCTGCATGTGAAGACTATCAACTCAGCTGATCCTGACTTTGCACCCACAGCCTATAATAAATAAAAACTGTACTTGTTTTTGCACTCCTGTGTCTGGCTATTTTGAATCCAAAACCCTGGTTCGTGACAGTCTTATCGAGATACTCAAAGCTCTTTAAAACAATCTGTGCCTCATTGACCCATTCATACAGCTCTATACTAGATCTCTACAAAGATAATTTCGTTCCCAGTCTTCCCCCGTCTCCACGGGTGTTCCCCAAGGCTCTGTCCTCGGACCCCTCCTCTTCATCATTTACCTCCTTCCTCTAGGTCACATCTTCCGAAATTTGATGTCCATTTTCACTGTTATGCTGATGACACGCAGCTCTACCTGTCAACAAAACCAAACTCCACCCACCTACCCTCCATCCTCACCGACTGTCTCAATGAGCTAAATCACTGGTTTTCTAACAACTTCTTACAACTAAACAGTAACAAAACAGAAATCATTCTTGTCGGTACCAAAAACTCTCTTTCAAAATCAGAAAATCTTCTCATCCCCCTTAACAACTCCCTGCTATCCCCCTCGCCTCAGGTCAAGAGTCTTGGTGTCATCCTCGACACCACTCTCTCCTAACCGTCTCCGCCCTTTTCTCACACCCCGCTCCACAGCCATCCTTGTTCACAGTCTTGTGACTTCTCGGATTGACTACTGCAACTCCCTTCTTTATGGCCTCCCCAACAAATCTCTCCAGAAGCTGCAACTGGTCCAGAACTCAGCTGCCCGTGTCATCACTCAAACCTCCTCCTATAACCACATCACTCCAGTCCTGCAGCAGCTCCACTGGCTCCCGGTTAAATCACGCATCGTCTTCAAAATTCTTCTTCTCACTTTCAAAGCTATCCACAACCTTGCCCCTCCGTACCTATCTGACCTCCTACACATCTCCATCCCCTCTCGCTCTCTCTCAGATCCTCCTCTTCACTACACCTCCATGTACCCTCTGCCCGCCTCTCCACCACGGGGAGCAGGGTCTTCACCTGCTCTGCTCCTCATCTCTGGAACTCTCTACCCCCTGACTTAAGAAACACCACCTCTCTTTCTCTGTTCAAGACTGCTCTGAAAACACATCTCTTTAGACTCGCTTATCCTTAACTTTGCTCTATGTATTTTATATTCTTTACGCATTTTATATTCTTTATGTATTTTATATTCTGTATGTAATTTATTCCTGATGATCTTTGTTCTTACTGTAAAGTGTCCTTGGGTGTCATGAAAGGCGTTTTTTAAATAAAATGATTATTATTATTATTGAACAATCATTCTAAAGAGACTAATCAGTGCTTTAGATCACATTCAGACACTGATGGGACACACATCAGAGGCATCGAGGGGTTCAGTGTCTTGCCCTGAGACACTTCAGCATGTGACTGCTGGTGGATTTGAACCCCCAACTCTTGCACTGGAGGACGACTGCTCTAACCACTCAGCCACAGCCGCCCTGTTGTAAAGAGCTTTGAGTGTCTTGATAGAAAGGTGCTATAAGTACAGTCCATTTACCATTTTGTCTTTCCTCCTGTAGAAAGTACACATGGACCTGCCATTCTGTTTCTCCTTCCTGTCAAACCTCAGATGGTCGAAGCAGATGGCTCATCCTGAGCCTGGTTCTGCTGGAGGTTTCTTCCTGTTAAAATGGAGTTTTTCCTTTCCACCCTCTCCTTTTGTGCTTGCTCAGGATGGGAGACTGTGACGAAATGAAGACTCAATGCAATCTGCTGCTTCCTTAGATAAGTTTTACTAATTGACTTTTTTTATGTGTGATATTTTTGTACAGTGCCCTTGAGATAACTTCTGTTGTGATTTGGCGCTATACAAATACACTGAATTGAAACTGAATTGGTTCTTGTTAACAACATGTTACTCCATGTCCTTTAGAACAAATGTTTCATATGAGTACCACAACAGAAGAGCTCCCCATGTACCACCATTATAATAGACTTCAAAATCCTGTAGTACCTGTTCACAAGTTTTTTTTTTATTGTAAATTCGACCCTTCAACAACCCAACTGGCTAAAGGACACACACCGAGCTGTGGTCATCCTCTGAGCCTTCCTTGGGCGAGGGAGTCTAGTGGTAATGACAGAAATACTCAAAGAACTAGGTCCTGAGGAAGAGTCACAAACATAAAGATGCTTTGATCAATGAACCCTTTTATCATTTGAACAATCTTGATTGACAGCCCGTGTCTAGTCTTTGACTCACTACTTTAAAGAGTTTGTCATTGGACCGATGTAGGGAGAACCACTGAGATGAGAACAGATCTAATCCTGGTGGACGGATGCAGTTGAACATGTTTGCATTCACTACTAAAACAACTAAAACAGACCTGCGTACTCTGTGGTCTTGGCTCATCTTCTTCACACGACTGAGATAATTTGAATTAAATTTCCTCACCGTTTTGCACCTTTTGTTCACTGGTATGAAAAAGTAGTCCTCAACACGTCAGTTAATTGTCCACCTCAGTTTCCACATGTTACTCAAAGCATTTCTGCTTTAATTCGTTTCAGATTGGTACAAAAATTGTGATTTTCTTGTACCACCAATCTTTTCTTTGTCTGATTTTTAGCTTTACCGTACATCATAGTTCAGTGTATGTTTGGTACATCTCTTGTTTTGTACCTTGTAGATAGCTGATACCACGAGTTCTTCTAAGTATCACTACAGGGATCGTGAGTGCCACCCGAGATATTTTTAGTTAGAAAACATCACGTTAGATTCAAAAGAGTCTTTTTCCGTTCAGTTTGTTTTTCATCATCTTTCATCTGAAAAGGCTCTTGACTTTTGGGGTTAACAAAGGTTGTTTTGTTTTCATGCACACTGGCACGACTCAACCATCAGTTCCATAAATCAAAGACACCCGGGATAAAACTCATTGTATTCATATCAAACACGACTGCGGTTTTCTCTCACCTGTCTCTGCGGGCTGCCTTTGTCTGAAGCTCTAACGATCAGGTCGTAAGTTTCTCTGCTCTCTCGATCCAGAGGACCAACAGCCAGCAACGTGCCATCCTGCGAAACAGAACATGATCTCAAAATCTCCATCAGCAATGAGAAAGTCATACAAATGACTCGCTGCTGCGTTGTTGCTTAACACTGACCATACAGGCCATGAAAAGGAAACCACTGACTGACACAGGCTTTATGTCCCACTAAGAAAATTTACCTTTATTGTTTGCTGTCAGCAGCTTTTGAACCTAAATATTTATATTAAATCTCTTTGGCTGTGTTTCCTTGTTAGCTGCCTTCAGAGGGAAGGGTACCCGCTGACACCCGTGGGTGTACCTCACCTCTCTGAAACAGAAGAGTGAGTGTGGGGAGGCGAGGAGGAGTGTGACTTCTCCGTTGGAGCCGATGTCAGCGTCTGTGGGCACGATGGTGAAAATTTCTCCTGGGTTTTCCTCTGAGTAGTCGCCCTCAGTGATCTGCAGGGGGTCAGGGATGCTCGGGAACTGGGGGCTGTTGTCGTTGTAGTCCAGGACGGTGATGTTGATCTGAGCTGTGGCGCTCAAACCGTCAGGGTCCTGATCCACCGCCACAACCTGAAAACACACACAGAGCAACAATGACACTAACCACAGGAGCTCTGCTTAATAAAGTCTGCCTATGACTGACTGACTTTACATCCCAAAATGGAAATGTTTTAACTTTTAAACTTTGTTTGAAAAACCGATGCAAACATTTTGCTTGGTGGAGTTTCACCATATCAGAGCAAATAGTCATTGTGTTGTAAGTGGAGGTTTTTATTAGCTCTGTTGCCTAACTTTCACAGATCACCTAAACAACAGAGATAAAGAGTTGACTTTCAGCACCATAATCAGACCCACTTTACCTGTGATAAACATCCCTCTGTACTGCAGCCAAACAGGATCTACATTTACTTTAACTTTTACCTGTGTCCTTTATCTAACCAAAACTGTGACAAAGGAGATTCATATACTGTATTTATTAGGATTGATTGGATACACAAGGACAAAAAAAAGTTAAATAACTCTAAATAAAGCACCAGATAAGAGTATTTAGTCGTTAAAGGTATTTGCCTTTTTATTTTGGAAGTCGTCTAATTATTTTCATGAATTTAGAATTTTATTTCACTATAGACACTGTTCAATTTTTAAACAACTGATGCACCAATTTAGGCAGCACGGTGGATCAGTTGGTAGAGCTGTTGTCTCTCAAGGTCGCTGGTTCAAATCCCAGCCCGGGACCTTTCTGGGTGGAGTTTGCATGTTCTCTCCGTGTTGCGTGGGTTTTCTCCAGGTACTCTGGTTTCCTCCCACAGACCAAAAACATGCATGTTAGACTGATGGTAACTCTAAATTGTCCCTAGGTGTGAGAGAGAGAGTGAATGGTTGATTATCCTGATGCATGTTCAATGCATGAATGGTTGATTGTATTCATTTGTCTCTATGTGTCCCTGTGATGGACTGGAGACCTGTCCAGGGTGTCCCCCACCTCTCGCACTGTGATAGCTGGACATGGACACCAGTGACCCTCCACAACCCGAAAAGGAAGAAGTAAGTAAGAAGTAAGTCTCAGAAAGTGTGGAACAGGAACCATAAATGTATCATGCAGAATAAAGTTTTACCTGAAACAAGTAGCTGTCCTTTGTCTCTCTGTCCAAAGTAGCACTTTTCTTCAGTGAGACAACACCTTGTTTGTTAATATCAAACATATCACTCGTGTACAGGAAGTAACCATTGGAGAATCCACCCTGAGCAGGAAGAAAAATGTGTCAAATAAACTCACAGAGCTTCATAATCAGAGTAAACAATCAGGAACAAAACAGCCGCAGCAGTTCCTTGAAATAAATTTCATTATATTACAGTTTGAAGCATAACTTGTTTTGGCAATAAAACAGTGGTGTGAACCTGTGTGACCTCAGTACAAGCTGAACACAGCTGACCTTTGGCAACATCCTTCAAACTCTACGAGTTTCAGCCTGGAGAAGCCACCTGCCCAAACCCAGTTCAAGAGACAAGGTCTCACCAGACTGCCCTAAACCCACTAGGAGCACTGCTTTTTTATGTTAGGGGCAAAGCTGAATGAACTTACATTTTGTTTAGCTATTTTCCCATTTTCTCCATCTCCATCTTCAGAATTTTCATTATTTTGACTAGTTGGAGCCGTTGAACCTTATTAATGTATCTGGATTTGCCCATCCTTGCCAGTTTCATTGCTTTTGGGTTCTAAGTAACCATGTCTTTATAAATTCATCTCACTATGGAACGATTATAAGGGCCAAACGCCACAATATCAACTTCAGTAACTATACCAGTAACTACTGTATACCTCTGCAACAGAAAAACACAAGGGAATGTTTAATCGTGATGTTCCTACTGTTGTCCAGCATCCAGCCTAACCTTGGACCTCCCACACACTACACCACCCCAAAAGACTTTAAAAACATGTCAGGACTACTTTGTACATATTTGCACATAAATGCACATAACCTCCTTCATAAAATTGATATGCTGAGGATTTGGGTTTGTTCAAATGGTGCCAATATACAGTAACTGTTATTTCTGAAACTTGGTTATCTAAATCACTTTTGAATAAAGATGTGTCAATTGGAGATTTAATATTTCTCATTCTGTTTGTCAAAGAAAGGGAGGTGGTGTTACAATTTATATCAGATCAAGACTGGATTCACATCTGGTGTCTGCTAAAACAATCCCTAATCAATTTAAAATCTTGGCATTAAACATTAATTTGCATGGTGGCCAGTCATTAACTCCTGTGGGAAGTTACCATCCCCCATCAGCAACTTCTGAGACCCTATTGCCATTAACGGCGTTCCTAACAAATTTACATTTTAATGAGATTGTCCCAATTAGTGATTTTAATCTAGACTAGCTGTCTCTAGTGTCTGAGGTATTAAAAAAAATGTTGTTTGTCATTCAATCTTAGTCAAATCATTGACACCTCCACTTGTCCAAATACTTAGCTCCAGGAAGCTCGTCTATTTATTTTAGATATCTTTATATCAAATATGCTTCATAAATTTTCTGGTTTGAGTGTTTTTGCAGATGATATGAGTGACCACTGCGTTGTTGGTGCTGTTAAGGATACTAAAATGCCTCGTTCCAAACCTAGATTAATTCTAAAAAGGAACAGAAAGCATTTCAGTGAATAGGCTTTCATTTGGGACCTGTTCTATTTTGATTGGCATCATGCTTTACTGATGACATGAACCTTCCTTGAAACAATTTTCACAGTAGTTTCATTCACTTTGTAAATAAGCATCCCCCTTTTGCCAGTTTAGAATAAAAGGACAAGACAGCCCCGGGTTTACTCCTGAGTTAGCTGATCTGCACAGGAGAGATCAGCTTTGAGCAACAGCAAGACAGTCTGGTTCTGACACTGATTGGTTGCAGTTTTGTCAGCTATGATAACATTATAGAGTTTCCATTAAAGCTGTAAAATGTAATTAATTTTATATCTCAGATCTTCAAAGATCTAAATGACCCCAAAAGATTCTGGAAAACTAACAAATCGCTTTTTGGTAGCTCCCATGCATCTGATCTGCCACCACAATTACATGTTTATTCTGTTCCTGTGTCAGATAAGCATGAGATTTTAAACAGTTTCAATAGATTCTTTTGTGTGCCTCTAACTCATTTGCCACAGTTAATAATGGAAAACCAACTACTTCTCCTTCAAGCCAAACTTCTACAAATCAAAATTTCCCTACAAGTCAATCCTCAGTAAACCACACCTTCTCATTTTCAGTTTTCTGTTAGTGAGGTTAATAGATTGTTAAAAGGTCTGCATTCTATAGAAAATCTGCAGGTCCTGATGACCTCCCTCCTTTTTTCTTAAAGTTAGCTGCACAAATCATACCAGAACCAATCAATCAATCAATCAATCAATCAATCAATCAATCAATCAATCAATCAATCAATCAATCAATCAATCAATCAATCAATCAATCAATCAATCAATCAATCAACTTTATTTCTATAGCACATTTTAAAAACCGCAAGAGTAGCCAAAGTGCTGTACAATAAGACAAAAAGACAAATTAATTAAGAGAATAAAAACATGCAAAGCATACACAAAGAAACATAAAAACATGCACGTACCAGTTTCATGGCGGGTGTGTTAAGATGCCATAAAAGATTAGATCACGTGTTAAAAGACAAAGAATAAAAGTGTGTTTGTAAAAGAGATTTAAAAACAAGAAGAGAGGAGGTCTGTCTGACACTCAAGGGTAAGTGGTTCCACAACCTGGGAGCAACAACAGCAAACGCTCCGTCTCCTCTGAGCTTCAGCCTTTAGGGACTGTCAGCAGCAGCTGATCAGCTGATCGTTGGGATCGGGGTGGGCAGTAAGGCTGAAGCAGCTCAGACAGATATGGTGGGGCAAGGTTGTTCAAGCATTTAAAAACAAACGGCAAAAGTTTAAAATGAATTCTGTGGTGCACAGGGAGCCAATGAAGGGACGCCAGGACGGGAGTAACATGCTCGCGCCTACGGGCCTGAGTTAACAGGTGAGCAGCAGAGTTCTGCACAAGCTGCAGACGGGCAGGAGAGGTCTAATGTCTGCAGACAGTGCATTACAGTATCAAGACGAGCTGTGATAAAAGCATGGATTAGTTTCTCCAAGTCAGGTCTTGCTAAGATTGGTTTCACTTTTGCTATTTGGCGAAGTTGATTAAACTTTTCTGAACAACACTGCTGATCTGTTTTTCAAATTTAAAATCAGACTCAAACTTCACCCCCAGATTGGTGACACAGTCCTTGAGATAAAATGACAGTGAGCCAAGATCTATGCTGGGAGAGGGACGGCAACTTGGTCCAAACATCATAACTTCAGTCTTGTTCTCATTTAGACTAAGGAAGTTAAAAGAAACCCATGTCTTAACATCATTAAGACAGTGTGTAAGTTGCTGGAATGTGTTGTTTTGTGCCAGGGGAAAATAGATCTGGCAATCATCAGCATAGAAGGGAAATTAAATGCCATGTTTCCTGAAAATAGAGTTGAGGGCAAGTAAGTAAAGAGCAAATAAAAGAGGGCCAAGGATTGAGCCCTGGGGGACACCATGTGGAAGAGGAGCAGTGGAAGACATAAAATTGTCCATTTTTACGCAGAAACTCCTATTGGTTAAATATGACAGAAACCAATTGAGGGCGACACCCCTGATGCCCACACAGTGCTCAAGATGAGAGATTAAAATCCTGTGATCAACAGTGTCAAATGCAGCAGACAAATCTAAGAGCACTAAAACAACAAACTTTCCGGAATCTGTTGACAAGAATATATAATTTGAAACCCTCAAAAGTGCACTCTCTGTACTGTGATGGGCTTTAAACCCAGACTGAAATGGCTCAGTGATACCATTGTCCTCTAAAAATGGTAACAACTGGTTGTAGACTTCTCTAATATTTTAGAAATGGAAGATTATACATAGGCCTGAAATTGGAGCAGAGAGAGGGGTCAAGGCCCGTTTTTTTAAGTAGAGGACGTATAAATGCATGCTTAAAAGCCTCAGGTACTATACCAGAGGAAAGACTGCTATTAATAATCTGGAAAACACTTGGTCCAGTAGTAGCAAATATCTCCTTAAACAAACGAGTTGGGATGGAATGTGCAGGAGAACCAGAGGGCCTCATATGATCAACTGTGTCCTGTAGAAAAGAGAAGGACACCGGCTCAAACTGATCAAAAGTAGATGAGTAGTGTAAAGAAATAGAAGGATCACAGGAAGGCTGAGAAATACAAGCTCTGGTTGACACAATTTTATCAGTGAATAAGTGGAGGAAACTTTCACAGACTTCATTGGAGGCGTCAAAACCAACAGACTTGGGAGCGTGGAGAACAGTATCCATGGTTTTGAACAGAACTCTGGGGTTATTACAGTTAGAAGAAATTATGCCTGAGAGATATTTGTTCTTCTCAGCTTTTACAGTCTTCTGATAGTGTAACATGCTCTTTTTAAGAATATCAAAAGAAACATGTAGCCAGTCCTTTTTCTCCCTGTGCTCTGCGCTCCTGCACTCGTGCCTGGCAGCACACGTGATGTCACTCAGCCAGGGCTCGGGGGCAGGTTTGGTGCGCTGGCTCTTCAAAGGAGCGATCGTGTCCAGTGGTTGTAAACAAACTGAGTGGAAACCAGTTCATCCATATTTAAACAAAGAGTCTTTAGAGTTATCCTCGCAGAGACCAAGAAAAGTGGAGGAGAACAGGACTGGAGAGGAGGAGTTAAACATGCGACAGCGCTGAGGACGAGCGTGCAGTTTAATTGGACAGTGTGTGGGAATGTCAAATAGGATCGGCATATGATCCAAGAAAACAGCATCACATATGTCCAAATTGGAAACATCCAGACCGTGAGACAGGACCAAATCGTGTGTGCCCGAGTTCATGAGTAGGACCAGACACAGACTGCACAAAGTTAAAAGAGTCAATAACGTTTAAAAAGCTCCTGGAGATCAGCTCTTCTGGGCAGCAGACGTGAACCGGTGTCTCACATCTTTAATCTGTCCATAAGCCAAAACACCGTTCCAAACGCTTGGCTAACAGATTTTGTTCTCCCTTTACTGAAGGGAGGAGTCCCCACTATACGGAATAACTACTGGCCAATCTCTAAACTCTGTATTCTAGCTAAGGTTTTAGAAAAATTGATAAATACTCAAGTCAAGAAGTATTTGGATTCATTTAACATCTTATGTAGATCAATAAAGTATATTGATTGATTGATCTTCCCATCAATCTGGTTTCAGGAAACAACACAGCACAACTGCTTTGTTGAAGGTTTTTAATGACGTTGTTGAAGCACTGGATGCTAAAGATTATTGTGCTGCACTTTATTTAGATCTAAAGCTTTTGACTCTGTGGATCAGAACATCTTGTGTCATAAACTCTCAGAAATTGGTTTCTCAGATCACACTATCGGTTGGTTTTCTAATTACCCCTCAGATCAGAGGCAATGTGTTCAACATAATGGTACTTCCTCCAGTTATTTAACTGTTAACAATGGTGTACCTCAAGGCTTCACCTTAGGACCCACCCTCTTTACAATCTACATAAGTAATGTAGGTCAGATCATCCCTGATGCATCCATACATTTCTTTGCTGACGACACAGTTGTTTATTGTCGGGTTGTCAGTTGCTAAGGTTTTTCAGCTTCTAAAGTCTGCATTCAGCATCATCCAGTCAGAGTTGTTCCATCTAAAACTGGTGTTAAACACCGATAAAACCAAAGGGATGTTGTTTTCTAAAAGGAAGTCAGTACCAGCAGTCCTTCCTTCTATCTTAGCTACAAATGGTGTTCCTAATGAGTTAGTCGATTCTTACAAATACTTGGGAATCTTGGTCAATGCACATCTCTTTTTTAAGCATCATGTCGAAAACTTGATAAAGAAATTGAAATTAAAATTGGGGTTCTTTTTCAGAAATAGATGCTGTTTAACTCTGAACGCTAGGAAACACCTTGTAATTGCGACTTTCCTTGCGACCACTGACTATGGTGACATTATTTACATGAATGCTCCTGCAAGCACCTTGCTGATGACGCTGTCTATCACGGTGTGCTAAGATTCACTGGCTGTAACCACCATACCCATCACTGCAATCTGTTTTCCCAGTATCCACTGGTTAACTGGACATCATTAACTTCACACAGACTCTCACACTGGTACATTTTCATCTTTAAATCACTTCTTGGTCTGCTGCCTTCATAAATCTCATACTTGTCACGTCGTCAGTGCAGCTACAGCGTGCGCTCTTGAGACATCATTTTTATGTATATGAATGTTTCTGTGCAGTGCCCTGAGATGACTTCTGTTGTGACTTGCTGCTATGTAAATGAACTGAATTGAATTGAATTACCTGGAGCGTCCCCTCAGTGTGAACATAATTCGGCTAAAGGCCCTTCCCTTACTCTGTTCCTGTAACCTGGAAAACCTTGTGAAAAGATCTGAAGCGCTTGACTTTGATCTCTCTAAGAGATTTTAAACAACTGTTAAGTTTGATGCAAAAATCAATGCAGACATGTTCCTGCTTTTAGTATTTTACCTTGTTTTATAATGTAACTTGTTTTTATTTTGTTTTATATCACAACTTTTATTTACTTTTCATGTTACAGTATATGTTTTTTATGACTGGTTATTGCTGTGTGCACCTCATCTGTGTTTTTTTAAACAGGTTTCTCTTGTAAATGAGTCCTTGTGACTCAGGGACACTAACCTGTACAAATAAAGGTTGAATTACTGAAAATGTTCTCACATCATTCTGACTGTTCCCCTAATTCTAATTTTAACTTACTTTGATCTCCTTCTAAATGTAAATGGTAAATGGACTTTACTTATATATCTCCTTTCTATCTGATCAAGACACTCAAAGCTCTTTACAACAATCTGTGTCTCATGTACCCATTCATACAGCTCTATACTAGATCTCTACAAAGCTAATTGAACAAATCATTCTAAAGAGACTAATCAGAGCTTCATCACATTCATACACCGATGGGACACACATCAGAGGCAACGAGGGGTTCAGTGTCTTGCCCAGGGACACTTCAGCATGTGACTGCTGGTGGATTCGAACCCCCAACTCTCCCATTGGAGGACGACTGCTCTAACCACTCAGCCACAGCCGCCCTCTAATATAGCTTTATATGAGACTTGTTTCTGTTCATTTAGTCTAAATTCATCTGCATTTTACTATCAATCATCCCATTAGGTCCAAGCTGTCATAAAAAGTTTCAAAGTATTTATTTTCCAGATAAAATATTCATAATTTATGTTGAATAATCTGTTTTAAGTAAAACCTTGTGGTGACGACAATACTCTCAGTTGCTCCAATATTTTCAAAATAAATTTTTAGTTGTTATATAATTTTAAAAAATAAATTTATGATTTAGGGTGACATGGTGGCACAGTTGGTAGAGCTGCCACCTCTCAACGAGCAGGTCGCTAGTTCAAATCCCGGCTCAAGGAACTTTCTGGGTGGAGTTTGCATGTTCTCTACGTGCATGCGTGGGTTTTCTCCGGATACTCCGGTTTCCACAGAGCAAAAAACATGCATGTTAGACTGACTGGTAACTCTGAACTGTCCCTAGGTGAGAGAGTGAATGGTTGTTTGTCTCTTTTGTCTCTATATGTCCCTGTGATGGACTGGAGACATGTCCAGGGTGTCCCCTGCCTCTTACACAGTGACTGATGGATATGGGCACCAGTGACCCCTGCAACCCAAAAAGGACAAAGCGGGCAAAGATGATGGATGGATGGATGGATGGATGGATGGAACTTGTGATTTATTATCATAAATTTTGTCTTTCTATTTATATGATCCTGAAAATGTTTACATAAATCTTGTGTGAAATAATCTGACTTAGAATCATCTTTGAGTGAAATTCCATAATTCACTGGAAATAGAACGAACCCCTTCATGTTATTTGAGCTCTGGCAAAATATCAATTTGTTAATTTGACTTTTTTCCCAAATATCAATGTGTCTCTTTCAACTTGTGCAAATAGAACATGTATGATCTTGGTTGCTTGGACACACGCCCATGTAACATGTCTCACCTCGTCTCTGTCAGTGACCTCCAGGCTGAGGATGGACGCGCCGCTGGCCAGGTTCTCAGAAACAGCTTCATGGTAGCTTTCCTCACTGAACTCTGGGGGGTTATTGTTCACATCCTTCACCTTCACCACCACAGAGCTGTTCCCAGTAAGAGAGGGAGACCCACCATCAGAGGCCTGAACCCACAGAGTGTACATGCTGACCTCACTGTAGTCCAGAGGCTGGACCAGACGCAGAATCCCACTGGAGGAGTCCAGTTCAAAAACTGCAGGCTCTGATGAGGGACTTTGCAGGAAAATACTGTAAGTGATTTGTCCATTCACATCTTCATCAGGATCTACAGCAGATAATGTGAGCAAGACTGAGTCCACAGGCTTTGTTTCCAAGACTTCCACCTGATACTGTTCCTCAGAGAACTTTGGGACGTTATCGTTGATGTCTGACACCTGGACCTGCAGTGAGGCGCTGGCAGATTTGGCTGGACGACCCTGATCTTCAGCCACCACCAGCAGGTTGTACTCAGCTGTAGTCTCCCTGTCGAGCTCAGCAGCTAAACTTACCATCCCGGACACAGGATCGACAGCGAACCTCCCCTCTCCCCCTCTCAGTGAGTATCTGATCTCCTTGTTGAAGCCACTGTCTTTGTCTGTGGCTGAAAGTTGGGTAATGTTTGATCCAATCTCTGTGTCCTCCAGAACGGACTGTGTTACAGAACTGGAGGTGAAAACAGGACTGTTGTCATTGATGTCAGTGACCTGAACCTTCACAACTGCATTGTCACTGGTGACACCATCAGTGATGGAGACTCTCACAGAATAGTTCTGAGGGCCTTCGTCATAGTCTAACTTTGCACTGGTAGAGAGTTGACCAGTGGAGGAAATGGAGAACTTGTCAGCTTCTGACAGAACTTTGAGAGTCACGGTGTCAGGCGAGAGCGCGAGGAAGTTAACCTGAAAACATTCAAAGAGAATCAAGACGGTAAACTTAGTAAAACCTTGCAACAATGTAAGAGAAAGTTGTGACAAAAGTTACTCGTCATTTAATTCTGATCACTTTATAAACGCACCCTCAGAATCATAAGTCCTGGTTCCTGCTCCTCCTCCACAGTGCACTGGTAGACTTCTTGTAAGAACTGAGGATTTGAGTGACCAGGAGCATGAATGGTCACCTGTGCTAAGGTGGAACGGGATATGACACCCCCTAAAGGATAGATGACAAAAGATTGAAATTTCAAAGAGCAGTGAAACATTTGTTAAAAAGGTTTTCATTGTTACAGATGGTTGGATCCAGGGACACGTTGGTGTCCTTTGTAAGAATGAATTCACTTATGGAAGTTTATTTTACACTACAGCACAGTAAAGACTCGTGTAGTTGACTTCACCTTGCTGCTGCCCTTGGTTCAATCGTTTGTTTTTTGTGTTGTTGTTTTAATGAGTTTTATTTTTAAATAAGTCATTTTAACCCAAAGATAGCAGAAGGGGTACATAGAGATATTTGTGGAACATCAAATTTTTGAGTTTAGGCTTGTTCAATCATTTATTTCCGTTGGTTAAATGTAAATGTAACACCAAAACATTGATCTTATCTAACTCAGTCTAATCTTCAGTAAAGTTATTAAAATGTTAAGTCCTCTGGATGGATTCTACTTGTTGAAACGTTTCATATTTTATCCAAAAGACCTCTTGAGTCTGAGGAGCTGCAACAAACTCAGTCTTATAAGCAGCACCTTCTCATGGTGGATCAACCAGTTTGATGTTGACAGGCCCTGGAGCAATGTGGATATCCTAACTGGGCCTTCCTGAAAGAAAAAACCCAAACAGGACTCCAGTCAGCCATCAGGTGAAAAGGAGGAACCCAGACCCAGACCAGTGGTCATTCCAGATGTTGAGGGAGTATCAGAGAAACTGAGACGTTTATTTTCTAAACATAACGTCCCAGTGGCTTTTAAACCCCAAAATACATTAAAGACTGGTTCATCCCAAAGATCCAGTCCCCCGGCACAAACAGAGTAATGTTGTGTATGTTGTTCAGTGTCAGGAGGGTGATCAGTCTTACATCGGGGAAACTAAACAGCCACTGGCCAAAAGGATGGACCAGCCCAGAAGATCAACATCATCAGGCCAGGACTCTGAGGTCTACACTCATCTCCAGGCCAGCGGTCACTCTTTCAGGGATGAAGATGTTCACATAGAGAGGAACGATGGTTTGAGAGAGGAGTAAAGGAGGCCATCTTTGTGAAAAGAAACCGTCCATCATTAAACAGGGGTGGAGCCTCCGGGTTCAACTGTCCCCCTCTTACAATGCTGTGATTGCTAGTATCACTCAGCCCTCTGTGAACAGTAAACAGCCATCAGGGCATTAACTACCAACTGTTAGGCTGATGGTCCTCCTTTATCATGTGAACAACTAGTTCTGGATGTCAGCAACAAACTGGTTGATCCACTATGAGAAGGTGATGCTCATAAGACTGAGTTTGTTGCAGCTCCTCAGACTGAAGAAGTTCTTTGGATAAAAGACGAAACGTTTCAACAAGAAGAATCCGTCCAGAGGACCTGACAACATTGTTAGATTGATCTACCTGGATTATTGAGCATGCATCAGGAGATTTAACATAGTTAGTTTTCAACCTAACTGTGCTTGTTAAACTAACATTAAATCACTTGTTGAACTAACCTTTGTATCAACGAGGTTAGCTAATGTACATCTTGTTGTCTTAGTTGTTTTCATTCAACAGGACTGACACACGGAACACGCAAAATACTTAGAAGAAGATTCATTTTGGTTTCACTAAAATATCTAAAGTCAAAAATACTCTGAGAACATTGTAGAACATATGTGTCAAACTCAAGGCCTGGGGGCCAAATGTGGTCCTCGTGGATTTCTTATCTGGCCCCCAAGATGATATTTTAAATGTAAAATACTTTTATCACTTTAATTTTTTTCAGTAATCTTTGATTATGATGTCCAAAGTGCAACAGAGAACATCAAATGGGACCAGTCAAACTCTTGTTGAGGAACCTTCAACCAAGAAAAGATGTTGGGAATCTAACTTGAGTTAATGGAGATTCTGAAACCGGCCCCTAGTTTGAAAAAGGTTTTGATTTTGGACCCCTTTTGTGAGTGGGTTTGACACCCCTGTAGTGGAAGCTCAAAAACTTCTTGGACACATCACACAAAAACAGCACGGGCAACGTGCACTAATCTTACACACAGTAGATTTAGTAAGAACTAAAGTGAAAATGGGTGAAGTGGCGTCACAAGCCAGGGACCTGAAAGTTTCAGGCCACAGGAAACTTGCCCACAAATGTTTTGTCTCAAGTATAAATCAAAATGTGAAAGATAAAGGTATTTAGATTGAAACAGGACAAGTCATACACGTGCTGAACAGAGTGATAAATTTGAAAATTTGATTTTGATATTAATTAACTTTTTTTAATCACCGATTGGAAAAGGTAAATTATTACTGTGCCTATACCATCGCTGGCTGCTATGTAGAGAGGGAACTCCAGAATCCTGTTTTCCTCCAAGGGAATGATTTTAGCCAAGGAGATCTCTCCAGTTTCTTCATCCATCGAGAAGTATCCTTCACTGTTTCCCAGGTTAATGGAGTATTTGATCTTGCCATTGGCACCATCGTCTGGATCTTCAGCCTCAACCTTAGAGTTACATCAAACATGTCACTAGTACAGCACAACAAGGTCGTAATGGCTGAACACGCATATTATCAATACAAGGAAAGGTTAGAATAAAGGTCTCTCTTCACAAATAAATAAAATATCATTAAAAACAATCACTACATTCTACTCACAGTCATCTTTGAGTTGGTTCAGTCCAACTCAACTACACCGGCGGCTCTTAGCTGGCAACTCAGGAAGCAAGTTTTGTAAATGTCTACTTCTAGTTTCAAATCTACATTTAGCCAATAATCTTTTGATAAGAAAATAAATCAAATTACAATCTGCATAAGATTTGAACCAAGGCTTCCTGAGTGGCAGAGAATTGCAGTTGGACTATATGTCATCTGGCAGACTCTTATTCTTCCTTAGTGCCGAAGTGTCCCTGGGCAAGACACTGAACCCCTCATCGCCTCTGATGTGTGTCCCATCAGTGTATGGATGTGATAAAGCTCTGATTAGTCTCGTTAGAATGATTTGTTCAATTATCTTTGTAGAGATCTAGTATAGAGATGTATGAATGGGTCAATGAGGCACAGATTGTTGTAAAGAGCGTTGAGTATCTTGACAAGATAGAAAGGTGCTGTATAAGTACAGTCCATTTACTTAGATCATTGTATTCCTGATTTTGCTCCTCTTTTTAATAACACCGTCTAGTGCCCATGGCCGTATTTAGGACAAGAGAACTCCTTGGAATTAATTCAAGAAATCATGTAAAATTAGTCAGCTGTGTATCCAGTCCTGAAAGATGACACCTATAGTCGGTCAATTAAAACCTGGTTAAAAAATACAACGTGGCAAGAGAATACTGCCAGCTTCACTTGGGAACTATGCTTTCTCCATCTTTTTATGTTGATGATACTTTTCTTAAAAAATAGAAAAGCTATAGGAATTTCTGTGCATAAATATGAGTGTAAATTCCAGGAAATGTGTGCTCTGTAAAGCACTTGAACTTGTTTTGTCATAAAACACTCTCCTGTGCTCGACTCTGCTCGGCTCCAGGGCCTCTAGTTTCTGACACCAGTACGATGCTCAGTGGGATTAACCTGTCTAAATAAAGGTTGAATCAAGGAAAAAAGTACAATTCTGAGACCTCAATTTACTTTTAAGGTGACTTTGTTTGGCATTAGATCTCATTATTTTACTAAGTGGAGATAAAAATGTCAGAAAAAATGAACTCTTCACAAGAAAATAAACGACACATTGAACAGAGTTGTCTCTGTTGCTCACCTGTAAGAGCAGCATTCCTTCTGTTTGATTGACAAACACCTTCCCTTCATACTTGCTGCTGGTGAACACAGGACTGTTGTCGTTTTCATCCAGGAGGGTCACCGTGACTCCTGCTGCTACGGCACGGTTGGGGGAGTCCGCCTCCTTTGCTTCAATCTTTAAAATGACAAAACATTACCAGAAAATTTAGGATGGCGATGGGTTCAGGTCAGGATAAAACACAATCTGTTTCTCTCAGAAACAAAAAGACTGAATTTCCCAAATCTGTTTCCACTGACAAACTTGCCATCAGTGCTCATTTACACCACA